CCCATTGTGATAGTGTCTGGACATAGGGTCTTTAGGAGATAATTAAGGTTAGATGAAGTCATAAGGGTAGGACCCTAATCCAGTAGGACCGTGGCCTTATGAGAAGAGAGTTTGTGATAGTGTCTGGACATAGGGTCTTTAGGAGATAATTAAGGCTAGATGAAGTCATAAGGGTAGGACCCTAATCCAGTAGGACCGTGGCCTTATGAGAAGAGAGTGAGAGATGTATTAGTCCATTTCTGTCGCATATAACAAAATACCTGCAACTGGGTAATTTCTAAAGAAACAATATTTATTGCTTACAGTTTCAGAGGCTGGGAAGTCCAAAGTCCAGAGAACACATCTGGTGAGGGTCTTTTCCTGGTGGTGACTACAGGTGGCAAGAATGGCAAAACCAGGGAGAGTAAGTCCTCACTACTCCTTTTAAAGCCCTCAGAACCACGCCAATGACCAGCATTAAACCATCAATAGATGAATCCATTTACTTGGGCATGGTCCTCACAATCTAATCACTTCTTCAAGGCTCCACCTTTCAATTACCATAATAGGATTTCCCTTCTTCTTAACACTGTCGAGTGGGGGTTAAATTTCTAATATATGGAACTTGGGGGACACAATTCAATCCACAGCAAGAGAAAAAGGGAAAGAGAGAAAGAAAAAGAGAGAGAAATCATGTAAGGACACTGTGATAAGGTGGCCAACTGCAAGTTAGGAAAAGTGCCCTCACCAAAACTCAACCATGCTGGCACCCTGATCTTAGTTGTTCAGCCTCCAGAACTATGAGAAAATAAATGCCTGTTGTTTAAGCCACTCGGTATTTTGTTATGGCAGCTGAGCAGACTAAGACAGGTGGTTAGAAAGCCTGGAGAATCTCCAGGAGGACCAGGAGAGCCAGGCTTAGGCTGTGCTGCCAGGAATTGTGCCCAAACCAACCATGGGGCTGCTCCTGTGAACACTGTGCCAGGCCTTTCAACCTGGACACTGAGCTTGCAAAGGGTGGGGCACCTGGAAACAGATGTATTGCCTGCCAGGCTCACGTCAAATAGATCCCTCCCCTTTGTTGCTCACTTCCTTAGAAATCTCATGTGATGTTCTAACGGCAGAGCCTAGATCACATGAGATTTGGTTGCAAGGAAGATTCTGGAAAAGTGCATTGGTTTCTCTTATGGAGAATCTCTCTCCTATGGTGGAACTCATAATGTGACGCATTTTCCAATCACGGGATGTGATTTGGGATGTGCATTTGTATGCTACTTACAGCCCTGCCAGTTGATGACCTCTGACCTATGGGCTACTTTCATTGTTTAAACTTCCACTTCCTCTGAGAACTAGAAAAGCCAGATCAAAGCATCATCGTCATCGTCATCACCATCATCACCTGCTAAAAGATGTTCGGAGAGCTGCTGAAGTGACTAGGACTAGAGGGATTCTGGAGAGAGAAGAACTATGATGAAATGAGCTGACATTTTGCAGGTACTCTTTTCCTGGGGGCATTTGCAAATTCGGGCATGGGGAAAGAGGCTGAGAATGTAGGCTTTTCTCCGAGATTCTGGAGAGAGAAGAACTATGATGAAATGAGCTGACATTTTGCAGGTACTGTTTTCCTGGGGGCATTTGCAAATTCGGGCATGGGGAAAGAGGCTGAGAATGTAGGCTTTTCTCAGGCAAGAGCACTGCTGTTGGGGACAGAGAAACCAGGAGACTTTGACACTCTTATAGAGTTGGAGAAATAACTGGAGACTTGAGAGGCTAATATCTCAGGAAGAAGGGAAGGGCAGAAAGTGAGCCTGATAGATGGCACTTTTCCCCTCAAGCTATTTGGCAGATCCTGAAACAGTGCAGGGCAAGAGGCTAAGAAGCCAAGCCGAAAGTCCCTGAAAAAAAGAGCAGTTTCCACAGTCTTGCCATGCTACAGAGACAAGGGTTAGAGTACCAGGGAGAAGGGACTTGGTGAACACCCAAGTTTCTCAGCTGGAACCCTGGAAAGGCAAAGCCTTAGAGGTAGGGGCCAGAGTTAGATGGTGTCTTATCAAAACTCTAATGCACCCTGTACCCTGCTCAGCCCATTGGATTAGGATGATCAGTCCTCATGCCATCTGTCTCGCAGAGAACGGGTTAGCCCTCTTCAGAGTTACATAACATCACCTACAGACTCTATATTTTTTTCATACACATGTCTGGCATTCAGTAAGAATTACAAGGACTAAGTCACTGAAAACAAAGAGAAAAATAGTCAAGAGAAGGAAACCCACTGGTGAACAAGGTATTGGACTAGACAAGGGTCTTAAAATAACTATGATTAATATGTTCAAGAAAAACAAAGAAAAAGATGGAGAAAATAGATGAAAAGAGAAATAATCTTACCAGAGAATTGGAACCCATAAACTTCATGGTCCAAAAGGTTAAGTGCAAGCCTAGCTGGTTAGCTCAGTTGGTGAGAGCGTAGTCTTATAACACCAAGGTCATGGGTTCAGATCCCCTTACCAGTCAGCCACTAAAACAAACAACATAAACAACAACAAAAGATTGAGTGCATAGAGAACTCACTTGACCTCACTGACAGAGAGATTTTGAAAATGCTGACTCCACTTTGTATAAACTATAAAATCCCATGGCCTATAGTCTTACAAAAAGTTGCCATCAAACTTAGCCATCAACGGCTGCCATTCTCTCAGCTTCTCAAGTGGCTTCCTTCAAGAGTGACATAGTGTACCATTGTTGAGTCTGACTCTGTCCCACAGCCTAGTTCCTTAGCATGGGGCTCTGTTCATCTGAAGAAAGAGGTGCCTTTTGCTAATTGTTCCAATACATCCATTGGGCAATAGGTATTGGGAATATTATTAGATAAGGTGGCAAAGGAGATGAGGCCTCCCTGAGGTGGCACTTTGAGATGACACTGAGTGACAAGAAGGAGCCAACCAGGAGAGGATTATGGTGAAGTGTGGTCCGGCCAGAGTGGGCACGGAGTACAAAGATTTAATCAGGGGTCACAGACTTTTCTGTGAAGAGCCAGATGGCAAATATTTTAGGTATTGTGAGCCATACAGTCTCTGTTGCAACTACTCAACTCTGCTGTTATTAGGTAAAAGTAATCACAGACAATAGACAAAGGGTGGTGGTGTTCAATAAAACTTTATTTATGGACACACACGTGAATTTCATATCATTTTCACCTGTCACAGCATAATCTTCTTTTGATTTTTTCCCAAACATTATAAATGTAAAAAACTGTTCTAAACTCTGGCACCACAGTTTGCTGGTATACATACGATCGGTTAGGTAGGCTGGGGTCAGACTACGCAGGGCGTGGTAAGAATCAGAATAGGGAAAAACCCCTTTCCCCCTCCAAATGGCAATCCACCAGGGTGGGCCAGGGGACCAGGTCTAGGAGGCAGTTTCCTGCAGCTCGCAGAAGATCATCAGATTCGTTTTATTTTTCCCCAGTAACTAGAAAGACGACCAAAAAGATAGGCGCACACACAGGAAGAAAGAGAGGACGTGCCCAGGTTCACGGTGACGTTTCTCCAGCACGCACTAAGGGTTTTAAAGTTGGGCGCACACCTGCTCCCAGCCAGAGCGCACCTGCCGACCAGTACTCCGGCCTCCT